CTGACAGGGGCGTGGACTCCCCTTCTGCTGCTCACCGGGGCTCCCGGGCTGCCCCCCAGCTCTCGGTGTTCGCCTGTGAGCTGGGCGGCCAGCAGCACAGCCCCGAGACCCGGAGCCCGGCGGAGATCTGCCACCCAGCCCACAAGCTGTTTGAAGAGGAGGAGGAGGAGCTGCAGGCCATCTGGGACCACGCAGAAGAGCAACTGGCACCAAGCCTGCGGGCAGAGAGCAGCACCCAACGCCTGCCCACCAGCAGGACGGGCAGCCTGCAGAGCCCCGATGTCAACAGCGGGCCCCTGATCCTCTCGGCAACTAATAACGTACTGGTAGCCAAGTTCACCCTTCCCACTTCTGCCCAGCTGCTGCACAGCCCAGTGGTAGAGAAGCGCCCCAGCGACAGGCACAGCGGCAGCCCGAGCACGCGTGGGGCAGCCCTTCCCTGCCCAGAGGCACCCCACAGCATGGGGCACTCCATGTCCACAGCCTGGGCAGACAGTCCCAGGTCGCGGGATCAACATCAGGACGAGGAGCAAGAGGGCGGCAAGGTCAGAGCCGCGGGCTGGGCGCGCTCCTGCTGGGGGTCAGATAGTTGCTCAAACCCCACGTGAAGAACAGGGCCGGGTAGAAACGTTTCTGATGCCTGGCACAGGTCCTGCTAAACTGCAGTGCCCCAGGGCACATAACAGCCAGGATGGCCCTTGGGTAGCACCACTGACCAGCGGTGGCTTCTCTGCACCACCGGCAGCCGCCTCGCTGCGGGCAGCGGTGCCGCGATCACAGCCTGCTACACGGCCCCACACGAGGAGTCCTGAGCTCCTGCCCTAAGCAGCACAAGGGCTGTGTGTGCCCGTGCCTGGGCTCGAGGAGGCACACGCTGCCTCCCGTCACACACGCTGCTTCTGAGGCCAAGGGCACTTTGGGCGGTGGTAGCAGGGCAGAGGTTATCAGCAGCTCAGACAGACCGCGGTTCTCAGAACTGCATTGCTACCATTAGCCCACGGCTGCTTTGCTCATCTTCTGTCTCCTTGCAGGCCCCTCTCGGTAAAACAGAGTTTCAGATGATGGAGGGGACCCTGGAGAGGAAGCACGTGCTGCAGACAGGAGGTAGAAAGGTAAGGGTATGGCTGTACATCTCCTTTGGGGTGCAGGGACATATGTGACATGCATGTGGGGGCTGCCAGGGGACAACCTCCCCTGTGCACTCCTTGGCACCCTCCTGGGAGCCCCTGGGCACGGTGCCATAGCAGCCAGGCCTGTACCCCAGTTACTTGTCTGTCCAATGAGGAAACTGACTTATAACAAAATTTACCCTCAGCTGCCCAGCCAGACTGCAGCCTGCAAAGGCAAAACAACAGCCCACCCTGACCCGGGCAAAAAGGCACAATGCAGCCAACTCAATATCTCCTGGGAGCTGGCTGCCACCAGGCCATGAGGGCAGAGATACCTTATCTCTAGCATACACAGAATGTATTGCAGAAATGTCACCTGGAAAGGACTCCAGCTGACCTGATATAGGCATCCCTAAACTTACACCTGGCCAATATCTCCTTAAGGTTGTTGCATCAGTGAGGCTGTCATTGATGCATTCCCAAACACAGGAGCATTTTCCAGGAAAGGCAACAGAGGACATTAAACTCAGCACAAAGCTCAAAGCCCCTCAAAATGCAAACAGGAAGCTTTTCCTAGTCTGCTCTTGCCCAGCCCTCCCAAGCAGAAGTACCATGTCACAGCAGAGCTGCAGGGGACATCACTGCCCACCCATGGGAGGGTGCATGCAGGACCTTCACCAGCTCTTCCCAGGGTCCAAAGGCTTTTCAGGTTTTAAGAAGGGACTGAAACCAGATATTCTATTGGCACTAACTAACATTGCACAGCACTGGGGTCACAGCTTACAGGGGTTTGAGGAGTGTTATGACTGGCAGCAGACCAGTGTTTTCCTGAACCTTGAGCAGTAAGTCTGAGGCTGGAGGGAGGTAGTGAAAAGGAGGTATTGGCTTGAATGGCCCCAAAAAGGTTGTGCCGAAGCTCCCTGGCCAATGCTTCCAACCAGCATGGGGAGATGGGATCAGCAGAGGCTAGAAGGAGGGTTCTGGGAGAGCCCTGGCATGTGTGGACAACCCTACAGGGGTTGCGTGGACATGCCATGCGGCCCCTGGGTGCCTCTGTGCATCCTGCCCCTGTGGGGAGAGGATGCTGGGCTGGCAGTGGGACCGCTCAGGCTGGGATGTGGCAGATGCCCCCGGGCAACTCCCACCACTGCATCATCATAGGCTCCTGGTGCAAAAAGGTCCCTTTCATCTGGCAGGGCCCTGCCTCTCTGATAGCATCTGTCTGTGTCCTGTAGGCGACCTGTCGCGCCTGGAGCCTGTTCCACGCGGTGCTGATGAGGCAGACGCTGTGCTTCTACCAGGACCGCAGGGACAGCCTGAAGGTACCATGGGATGGGCAACACAGCGGGACCGCAGCGGGGACAGGATGGGGAAGACAGCAGCATCTGGGGCTACAGCCAAGCAGACTTCAGTCCGTTATTAGTTCTCCTTGCTTCTCCCATGCATTCAGCCTTGGGGGAGCCCAGCTGACCCTGCTGGGGCCAGGAGGGGTCTGGCTGGGGGGCTGCCAGGGTCTCCCTGGCCTGTGTCCATGCTGGGTCTCAAAACGAGAGCCAGCAAAACCCCGCTGTTGCTTTTGCTCTTCCCTGTGCTGCAGAGCTCCGTGGTGGCCCTTCCCCTGAACCTCTCCGGGGCGGTCTGTGCCCCAGACACAGAGTACACCAAAAAGACCAACTGCTTCAGGCTACAGTGAGTAACTCCAGCCCGTGACACCGGGGGTGGGAAATTTTAAAGCCACAGCACTGTGGAGAGAAGAAACAACCCTAAGGTTTTTATGCTGCTCAGCAAGTGTGTTACCCCTGGCTGTCTGCTGCTGTTACACAGATATCTCCAGGAAGGGCCAACCCAGAGAACGGAGGGCAATTATAATTTCTTTCTTTCTCATCTGCTTCCTGCTTTTTTTCATGGATGGTGAGGGCTGCAGTGTCTGCAACCCACATTTTCCTTGTTTCTGACTTGCCGCTCTTCTCTCAGGCTGCGGGATGGCTCTGAGTATCTTCTGAGGGCCCCATCCCAGATGCTCATGAATGAGTGGGTTTCCAAGCTGCAGCAGAACTCAGGTGAGCAGCCCCTGATCGTGGGCAGGAACGACATGTGGGATCCCAATGGGGCACATGGCGCCTGGACTGTGCTGACAGAGGCTGCAGGGCAGCAGCGAGGGGCAGGGGCAGAGCTGGGGTGGGAGTACAACTCTGCTGTCATCTTCTCATGCTCTCTATGTGCATGTAGCCTTTCCTGAACTCTTTTGATGCATGTGAGATCAGAAGAGAAGAAATACAGTACTGATTTATGCAGTTTTCTAACCTGCCCTGGGAACTGCAGTTCTTTGCCAGGCAGGATTTGGAGGCTTTGTTTTCACACCGCATACACAATTATAAATCAGGAATAACACAACTGACGTCAGTGGAGTCTCAGCAGCATAAAAGCAGTGTCAGGAAAACTACAATTGGGCCTCGGTCTTCCCATGCCCCTTGTTTCTTTTGCGGAGCCTGGAAACCCCTTCCAGGCAAGGAGATCTGCAGGGCTGAGGCCTTCCCATTGCTATAACCATGAACCAAGGGGGCTCAAGTGCTATAATGAAATGCTAAGCTGATTTGTGTGAGCAACAGCAAGCCATAGAGTTAGAGGTCAGAGGAATCAGCTCTGTGGTCCGGGCATCCCTATGGCTCAGACAGTTGGGCAGGGAGCCAGAGCCCAGACTGGCTCAGTGGGATAGTCCTGTGCGCTCATAGCACTGCCCAACGAGGCAGCATTTCTCCCTTGCCCCACAACGGGTTGTTTGCTTTACCTCCAGGTTTCCCCGAAGTGGATTACTTCCAGGCAGCAGCACAGAGTGTCGAGAACACCAGCCCTGCTGGAGGGTGAGTAGGCAGGAACAGGCTAGCCAGGTCTCAGTTTGGCCAGAGGCAAGTCTCCTTGTTATGTTGATATCCCACTCTTGCTGGTGCAAGCCAGTTTCTCTTACCATATTTCATGGTCAACACCATAGTATTCATTGTGGTGGTGTGCTTACTGTGCTCCCAGAGCAATCAGAGGGCCAAAAGTGGGTGTTAGGCACTTGTCCATCAAATGAAACTGTCCAAGCTGCCTTCCTCGGCCTGCAGCAAGAAGATATTCTATAGGCAAGTCTGATCTGCTAAATCTCTGCTACTTTTCAGTTTCAGCAAAGTCACTGGGCCCGGAAGCTCCCACCTCCAGGGGCCCTCTCAGGCCATGACTGCCAAGAGCCAAGAGATTGTGGTGTTACCGCGCTCAAATGCCAGGCTGCAGCTGCCTTTTGGCAGCCAGGATGGCCCAGCAGACGGCGCAGCATCCTCAGCAGGTGACTTTCCTGCCCCTCGGGCTTCCTGGCCGCAGGGCCCATGGAGCCTACCCTACTCACTACACAAATAAAGTGCTATTAGATGATCTTTGGGTTGTTCTGCTCCTGTCTGGAGGGACCACAGCAGACAGCTAGGCCTTGCACCTCTACCAGTGCATTCTCACGCGGGTTGGGGTAGCATGTAAGCAAGTGAATCTGGTTTTGGGGATTGGAGGGAGCAGAGTTGAGCAGGGGAGTCTGTTATTCCCTGATTCCTCTCCCCAGCCCTGAGAGGGGTAAAGGAAACTTTGTAGTGTTATAGGTCAGTCTTGAATTTGATGTATCTGGACCACTAGTCCCTCAGTCCTTCACTCAGGAATGGGGATGGGGGTGTGGACAGAGGAGTCTTTTGACTAGTTTACAGAAGTTACCTCCCTTCACTGCCTGGGAGTTATCAAGATAACCAGGCCTCCATGTAAGTTTTCCAGCACATTCTGGGGCTGATACAAGGGTGTCCCATGCTGACCTTGATTTGTGTCATAGTACAGCGGCAAGATCCACAGAACATGTTGCATTTGGGCCAAGGCAACTTATTTTTAGAGCATCTGGGCAGATGTTTGCCTGGCCCTCCTGTCTCAGCTCCTCCTTGACATGTCTCTGTTCTTCTCCAGAGGAAGCTCATGGAGGTGCCAGCCACATAGCTGGGCACAGGGAGGACCAGTGGTTACCCAGGGGGTCCCCTGGATCATGGGACAACAGCTGCCCAGAAGATGACTATGGGCTGGTGGCCAACAAGAGGAGGTCCTACTCATTCACTTCAGGTACAGCTGTGTCAGGCTGTATGCATGCATGCGTGGGGCAACCTTGCCCAATGGTCACTGTTCCATCCTCTACTCTGCTCAGTGCACAGGCCAGCCCACAGCATAGTTCTGGGAGCCACCAGCCACTCGAGCTGTGAGCCGATGGCTAGCTGGGACCCACATTCCTGGGTGGGAGCAGTGGCTGGACCCACATCGTGCCGGGGGGGTTCTGCTGGAGGGGCGTATGCACGGGCTGTTCTCCGGTACTGCAACAGCGCCCTCACGCGGTGTAGTAAATCCCTGTGCCCTGAACTGGTGTCCCCCTCCTCTCTTGGAGTATGGGGCAGCCCATAGGGTCTTGCAACCCAGCAAGGAGGAGGCGGCTGGAGAAGGGGATACTGTAGAGAGCTGGGAGCTGTTAGCTCATGGCTTTATGTCCATGAGGAGACATTGCATGTTGGAGCTGCCTACTGGCAATTCTGGCCTAACTTCTGCTGAGGACATGTTAGCGCATGGGATAAATCCAGGTCAAGGAAGCTCCAGCTTTCTGGAGTTTCCATGAGACACCCTGCCTGGGTGGCCTTCATGCTGGGCCAGGAGGATGTGTTTCACTCACGCTTGGACTGCTCCCTTTAGGAGTCACTCACGCATCTGCTCGAGTCATGCTGGTCACTGGCACTTATCCCATTGGGAGCCATCTCCTGAGCAGCCTCTTTGTGTGGAGCTGAAGCACACTGTTGGGCTCAGTCCCACAGGTATTAGGTGGGGTGAGCTGGCTTCCTGGGTCCAGACACTTGTTTCACTGTCACTGCCAGGAGGTGGCACCAATGCCCCTGTCCTCATAGCCACTGCTGGGAGCAAGGGAGGTGTGCTGAGGACAAGGTGTGATGCTGTCTTCAGTACCACCCCGGTGCTTGTGTCCTCGCAGCCTGGACTCCAGTGCCCCAAGACCTGCACGCATGCCCAGCTTGGAGAGTACCGTGGGAGAGCTGGCACATCCCAGCTTGTGCCGCAGCCTCCCTGCTCACTGCTCTTTTTTTTGCAGCCACCTACCAGAAGATCACGCCCATAGTGGTGCCCAAGGAGCCTGTGGAGGCTGGGAACAGCTACTCTGTCACGCTGTACATCGGGGAGCAAGCACCAGCTGCACCCAGGACGCGCTGCCACTCCTTTGTAGCCAGGCCAGGAAGTCCACGGGAGGTGCTAGGGGAGAAGACCCAGGGCACCCCTCGCCCCAAGAACAAATCTGTCTTCAAGAAGTTCTTCGGGAAGAGGGAGTGAGCTGCACGCAAGGAGAAAAGCAAAAGCCTGCCCCTTTTCCTCCTCTCAGGCCTGCTTCAGGTGCAACCTTAGTAAAGTCTCTCCCCCCAGCACCAGCCCTCACCGCTCACCGTTGCCTTGGGGCGCCCAGCGCCACGAGGGGGAGAGACGCTGCAGCAAGCGGCTCTGCTTCCGCACAGCCCCGGGGGCTGCACGTGGCCCCCGCCACCGTCCCCCAGCCAGCGGCTAAGCCACTCGGGCGCCCTGCGGGCCCCTTCCAGCAGGCAGGGGCCCTCTCCTCGCTCTCACCGAGCTGATGGCGGCTCTCTCTGCCGCCGCTTCAGCTGGATCCCCCAGCATCCCTCCTACACGCAGCACAAGCAGGGTTGAGGGAGTTGTTATTTTTATTAAAAAACAAACAAATGCTTAGTCTGGGAGCATCTTCCTCCAGCACTGCCAGCGCCTGTGCTACCTGCAGAGCAGGAGGGGGCTCTGTAAGATGGCCCTTGCTAAAGAGGGTGGCAGTTGCTTCACAGGCGAAGTGTGGGGCTCCTGCAGCCTGAGTTCTGTCCTGCCCCAGGATGTGGTCTGAGCCGCCTGGCCTTTCTCACAAGGAGGCTTTGTCCCGCGGTTGCCCTGTGTGTGTATCCAGCCCAGCTAATCCCATGGGGCGCCTGGGCCCCTTTCCCTGCCCTGGGAGCTCAGTGGACCAGGGGAAGGTCACTGCCTGGCGAGCAAATCCTGCCTGCGCAGCCCAGGACCCACGCAGCATGACACAGTGTGTGCAGCACCAAGGCAGCTCCCATCTTTTCCATCCTCTCTCACAGGCTGGCTCTGGCTCAAGTCACCACAGGGGTGATGTGCGGCTTGGAGGGGGCCAGGGGCATTTGGCTGCACCCTGGGGCTTCCTGTAGCCCAGATATTCTGCAATAGCTCCTCTAAGCTCCTCAGCAGCTCCAAGTTAGTATGGCTTCTGTCACTCCGGTTCCAAAGGGGAAATAGCAGCCTGTCCAAAGCACCCCCTGAGCACACAAGCCCTGAGAGGAGAAGGGGAAGCGTCCCAGGCCTGCAGGAGCAGGGCCTCTCCCGTCCTGCACAGCCCGTCTCCTCCGCACGCGCAGCATGGGGCTTAAAATAGAACTGCTGGCTGCCTCCCAGCACTGCAGCCGCACGGGAAAGAAATGTGAACCCGGGGCACAGGGCTGCTCTGCTGCGCCCCCAGCCCCTCCGCTGCCCCTCACTGGAGTCCCTGGGGCTGGCAGTGGGCAGGCACCACAGCCGGTGCGGGCAGCAGAAAGGGCAACAGTGAGGAGGAGCAGGCACACCAGTGCCGCCTGGAAAGGGCTTTCCCTGTGCTCCCAAAGTGGAGGTGGAAGGAGACAAAGGTGAGGGGCACTGCCTTGTAGGCACGGGGTGAGTTTGGGGCCGTGGCAGCCCAGTCTCCCCTCGGGCCTCCCCGTGCTCTGCTTGGCTCCATGGCTCTTGGCTCGATCGCCTGTTTTCCTCCGGCTCCAAGCTTGGTCCGCACGCACTGCCTTAACGGGAAGAGAGGAGCGGGCCGGCTGTCAGCATCCTCGGGGCCGGTAAGGGGGCACGGCCTGGGCCGAGGCCAGCGCCGGCCACGCACGGAGGCAGGCAAGGGGAGGAGCCGGCCAC